TCACTTGGGTTGTTTCTGCACTAAACAGGCCAAACATAGTAACGAATTAAAGCATACGCAGTACTCGTACTTAGGTTGTTTTTGCACCAAACGATGCTTCTCTGCCAAAATAATAATATTATACAAAAACCCCAAAACGGCCAAGTATGTCGCTTGGGGTGTTTCAACGATTCGATTAGAAGAACAAATTACAGAAAAAATCCAATGGCTTTCAATATTTAAAAAAAGACAATTTTTTTTAATTTTGAAACTTAAGTAACTCGGTTATTTTCGACTTATTTGAAAAACGACAAAGAGAAAATATGTTCCTTTCATCGAGATCTACCAGCTCCGCTCTATTTGCACTTATTTGACTCACTCTGTATATTAGCATACACTTTATTCGGCTTATTTTTGCTACAAAGTGTATATTTACTGCTATAAATACTTAATGTCAGGCCTTTTTTGAAATGTTCCAGTATAACCGTGAAATACCATTTTTGTTACTTAAAAGCTACAAATCCAGGATATTTCTATAGACATTTTCATTTCGATAAAGTAATATATATTACTTCGCATTTCTCTGTGTCATGTGATTAATGACTTACAGGATATGTAGGAACGTGGCCACTAATAATACTAGATATACTCTGTACCTCGGAGCATTTCCGTAAAGTATTCTTTTTTATTGTTAACTTTAAAATGTTTGCCACTATTTTTTTTTTAAATATCCGAACGACCTAATTCTCCGTAAATACTAGACATAGTATTTTCCAGAGTTTACAGGAGAATTTATTTTGTTAGAAGTTTGATAATCCTTGAGATGTTTGATAAAGTACTCCCGTCGTGTGATCTTTAGTGGAGCTATGTTCTTGACAGTTGCATAATTGTAGTTAAAACTTACATTTTAATTTAGTCTATTAGTGTTTAAGTTTTCTTAAAATAACTTTATAATACAGGGTGTGTAATACACATAAAAATAAGTAAAAAAGTTCGTATAAATGTATGTCCTAAAATGCTTCTTATCTGAGATATAGAGTGTAGAGGTTTCATTTTTATTTCGATTTTTTCATAATAATTTCTGAACTAAATTCCGTATATAGATGAAAATTAGGGGATTGTTTGGATTATTTTCAGATTGGCGGTCAGTGACTCAAAAACTTATTTTTTTATGTCTCAATATTTCGTAAATCTTTATTTACTTCATCAGGAGATATAAAAACTAAAAGTCAGTCGTATCTTTCAATATACACATTCATTACACCAATAATCTACTTTCAGTTATAAAATTTGACGAACAAAGCAGACCTACACTACATGATGTTTAAGTTACAATGAAACTGAGTTCATTGTAACTTAAACACATTAAACTAATTAAACTTCCGCCGGCAGATACTGTTTCATTTTTCGTGATAAAATAAAAATTACTTATTATTAACCTTATTGTAGGTAAATTAAATAAAAATAATCTGTTATAAATTTAAATAAAGTCTATAAACTAATGTCGATTTTGAAAATAGCTAATAAGTGTCACTAGAAAATTGTCATGACGACACCAGCGATCTTGATTACAATTTTATTGAAAAATCGCTTTTTAGTTAAAATCTGTGCTAGATAGGTATAGGAACCCTTTATATAGTTTGAAAGAGTATTTTTAAAAAAGATACATGGTGTTGCATTTGAAATAACGAAGTTTTTATGTAAAATAAATATTTAAAATAGACCAGCAATTTTTGATATTCCGGTATACATTTAAGGAAGCAATTGAATTTTTTAGCAAACTTTATTTCTCTGGCTTGAAAGTCAGCAAAAGAATTAATTCTGAAAGTAATATACAATGTGTTGTTTTTATTATAGCGTGCAAATTTAAATATCTTTAAATATTATATTTTAATATAATAAATGCCATATTTTATGTCAAAAAATCCAAAAATGAAATAAAATACCGGGTGTTCCATAAGAAAAAATATAACTTTGGCATAGATTTTAGTTCTGACACACCCAGTACATTTCAAAATAATTTTAAATTATGCACATTGCCTTCCCACATATAGCCATAAAATATTTTGTTTTTACATCTTTTCGTTTTCGTATAATCAACCGAGGCGAATGAGGTGCGCCACCCTGTATTTATGAATTTCAACTACCTAAAATTAAAAAATCTCAAATTTTTTAAATGGTACACCCTATATATGTTCATTTTTTCTGATAGATTTTGCAAAGCTCTTCAACTTTTTTTAAGCATACCATATACCTATTTTTAATAGTTTGCGATTTATGCCAATTTTTTTCTATTTTTACCCATATCTTTAATGCAATTACGCTATAACATCATAGTTGCCGTGACAAAACAAAAATATTTATTACTTATCTTTAACTCCTACTAACTTATATTTATTACTTATCTTTAATAATTAGTTACAATTGTTAAATCACCCGGTATGTGAGTGTAAATTTATGACAGATTTTACTACAAAATCTAAATTTTGCTAGTTTCTTTTATTCTCAAATATTAAATATCATAAAGTTTTAAAACAGCCTTTTACACCATTTTTGCATAATCTAGCAGTATTTGATAAGCAGTTTATCCCAAAAAATTATACAAGATATAATCTTAACTATAACTACTCTTAACTTAATAACTACTCTTGCATAAAATACATCTATGACTTATTTCTAATAATATATCTGGGAGAAACTAGATAATTAAATTTCTGAAGCGTATTTTCAAGCAGGCATAGATAACAAGAAAATTATCTTCAAAGGAATTAGAATGGCCACCAGCAGTTGAATACATCTTTGTAACAATTTAGTTTATCTAGTAAGAAATCTAATAGAGAGGAATTCAAGAACCCTGTCCTTGTATTTCTAATCTTTCCTTGTGATTCTATCATATATTTATATTATAAAAAATATTACTGCAATTAAAATAAAATACACCATCCTACTCTTATAAACATCTAGTAACCTAGAAACAAGATTCACTTGAAAACTTGGATTTGACACATATTTCATTAATTTTTATTTTTTAATATCTATATATATAATTGGTAACAGAGAGTCTTGGGTCGGTGTTTACATGTTTAGTAGAGAATCGCTATATGGTGATCTTGTAAGCCGGAAGGAGAAAAACACGAATAGTTTATTACATAGCCATTTAATTCCGCGTTTAATTTTATGTGCTTGGGAAGATACTTCATCTACTTATTCTTTCTACTATATATGATACTTATTCTATTCAACACATTGACTGTACTCTTTGTACACAATCATCTCTTCGTACAGAATCAAATCGGCACCCAAAGCCGGTCTTTGCTGACCGTGTACATGTTACGGTTAAAGTCCGATATCCGGTTAATGTCGACATTAACTGGTTAATGTTTGGGTTTTGTTTTTCGTTGTTTTGTTTCGTGTTATTCTCGAGATTAACCGGGTAATGTCGACATTAACCGGATATCGGACCTTAACCGTAACATATACACAACACAATGATAATTAGTGATTTATACTGTGTTATTTAATGGATCACCTATTTTTTGGGATAGCTGTTAATGTTATTTATATTACAAACTTTATTATTTAGGTATATTCATTCGCATATCATCTTGTAGTTAAATGTAATGTTTCTGGGCCGATATGGTTTAAGGTTTATTCTCGCTATACCTTCCGTTTCCATTCCATATCCATTCCATATCCGTTCCATATTTTTATTGTATTGACATTATACGTAAGTTTCCGTTCTGTATCAGTTCCATACTTTTTATTGTACAATTTATATCATTACGAAAGTTTTATTTTAAAAAGTTGTATCTTTTGAAAAAGGTAATAGATTTAATTAAGGGGTGAAAGAATAAATAAATATCAGTCAAATGTTAAAAGAACTGGTATAAATGTAAGAACTTGACAACGTTGTTTCCGATACGCTTCAGTCCGTCCGCCAAAAAAATGTATGGAAGGAAAGGATATAGACATGATATACATATAAGGATATAGAAAGGAGATACACATGATATAATATTTTATGTAAATGGAAGGGAAACGGAAGGGAGTTGATATGGAAGCTATAGTGAGAATCAACCTTTAGGTGGTTTTTCGTCACGAAGTTTCAGTTGAAACTTTCTACAATCTTACAGGGATCATTATTTATATTCAATAACATTTCTGCTGATAACCAAATGGTTTATTTAGACGACGATCGATAACCATATAATTTGTCTCATATAATTTTGCATATAAACTGACAGATATCTTCATTTCTAAGCCATCACCTAACCTAACCTAACCGATTTTGTCGGTTCTATCGTATTTTCTATCATACATGAATATATGTTTATTCTATACAATATTCTACAAATAACTATTAAATAGATATTTGTAGAATACAGAGTGGTCCGGACTGTATTCCAGAAACTTCGGAAGCATATTTTGCAGATAAAAATAAGTAAAAAAGTTCGAATAAATGTATGACCTAAAATGCTTAGTTTCGGAGATACAGGGTGTAGAAGTTTTTATTAAGAATTTTTATTTCGATTTTTTCCAAATAATTAATGAAATAACGTCAATATTTGTGTGAATATTGGTGACAATGATGTCAATATGACTCCTGCTTGTAGAGAGCGTAAATGTATATTTAAAAGTCACGTAAATGTATTTTTTTTCACTCAGTAGTTTTATACAGGTACGGACGAAAAGTTATTACTCTTCAAAACAGTTTAAACACATGTATGTTTGTGGGGTGGCTCCCGCTACAAATAGGAGTAATATTGACATCAAAATCAAATTTCTTATGTCAAAAAACTGTACTGACACCAATTTCAGAAATTATTTGGAAAAAATCGAAATAAAAATTAAATTTCTACACTCTGTATCTCTGAAACTAAGCATTTTATATCACATATTTATACGACCTTTTTTACTTATTTTTATTTGCAGAATATGCTGCCAAAGTTTCCGGAATTTAGTTCGAACTACCCTGTATAAGATTTATAGAAGACTTTATTTATTCTAGTATTTGTTTTCAGTTATACAACTTCTTTAATGCCCTCTTGACACATATCCCACAAACAGCCATTAGAGATGGCTATAATTCAAAAGAAGTTTCAAGAAGCTCATCATTCGGTAAATACATTTTTAAAACTAAAAATATTTGAATTATATTAAATAATATTTTTTTTTGCATTTAGATAATTTAGATGTAGAATTCGAAGAAGAGTCTCCGGATGAAGAATTTTCGTATAATCAAGAGGACAAGAAGGCTCTAAGGCATTTCATAATAGAATATCCATACACAGAAGAAAAAATCACACAGCTAATAGAAATATTTCGGAAACACAGGGTGAGTAAGCAAAATATAGTTTTATTATTTCTAAAAACTTTTATTGTAAATTAGTAATCGAGTTGTTACAATTTGCATTTCTGTTTTATTACTTTTAGTACTTTATTTATTTAATACTGAAGTGCCACAACAATACACCAAAACACTTTTACTTTCGCACTGGACGCGCGTTTAGCTAACAATGTTAGCGTCATCAGCAGATGATTAAAACTGAGTTTCGATCATATGCTTATGTATAAGAAAAAGGTATAAGTGTTTTGGTGTATTGTGGTAAATTAGTGTTTAATTTTGCTGTTGTAACACCAAAAGTTCCAACCCCCAACTGTAATAAAAAAATTGAAAATAGAAAAAATGTAATTCACACCCAGCAATATGAAATACCGGGTGCGTCTCAAAAATGGCTCACTCCTATTTTTTCAGATAAAAAAATGAGATTTGGTATGTTAGTATATGACATAAATTAAGATTGATTGACATATTCAATTGTTTTTTGACTACAACTTTTTATTTTTAAATGGTATCCTCGGTATCCTCGGTATTTTTTTACTTTATTCGATAGAAAATGACATTCTGAATAGAATGACATATCATATGTCAACTTTTGATATTCTCGCTTAATAAAAAATCGTATTTTAAAAATCAATCTATAGTACCATGGCTATGTTAAAAATACTAATTCTTAATCAAGGAGCCTTGCAAAAATAGATTTCATCGTCTAAAATGGTTAGTATCTTATTCTTAAGAAAATGCTCAAATCGTATTTTTTTACTTTCCATTCCATTTTGAAATCGCTCAACTAAACGTTTCTGATATTTAATAACCACTTAAACGGTACTCAAGATTGCGATTCTGTATCGATTAAAAGTTAAATTAAATTTGATTAAAATAAAGAAAATCCGGAGAATTGACGTCAATGAATTAACATAATTTGCTGATATACGATCGACAATTCGTTTGAGCAATAGTACCAAATACTAAAATTCCTAATTTCCTACAATTCTCTAACACATCATTGCCCATTGTTGATCGCTTCGTATTTTCAAAACTGATGTTTTAACAAACTGAACACATTTTTGAAAATTTTGCCTGTTTTTTCCTAACTATTGTTAATTCTTAATTAAATTTTATCTTTGAAAGCGAAAGTTACAATTATTCTAAATAAACTTGTAAATCCACTCCCGCGATACCATTAATGTATACAGCTAAATAAAATAAAATTAACGAAAATTTAGAAATCCATTTAAAAGTGCGTTAAAAGTTAAAAGTAAATTACTACCCCTCGGCACTGAAAAATGTTTTTAACTCTATAAATGTCATTTTTAGCATAAAATGCAAATGAGTATTTGAAAACGGATAAACTTAATTGCATTAGGAGAAAATTTTTATAGGACCTGGTTCTTAGTTGAATAATGTAATGCTATATACAGTGTTTTATTTTAATTATTCAAAATTAAAGCAAACTATGTGAGAGAAATTAGCTGAAATAAAATAGTGCTCTTAACTTTAACACAGTAATAGTGCACATTACTACATTTAATACCAAACAAAACATATACGCGGTGGCGCACCTCATTTACCTCTGTTGATTATACGAAAACGGAAACATGTAGAAACAAAATATTTTATGGGTACCTATATGTGGGAAGGCAATGTGCAATGGAAGGCAATTGTATTTTTTCTTATGGAACACCCGGTATTTAATTTCATTTTTGGATTCTTGGACATAAAATAAGGTATTTATTATAACGGTTTAATATTTTAAAAGCTTTGATTTTTGAGATATTTAAAGATATTTAACTATGCATGCTATAATAAAAAAGATTGTCAACACTCTGTATATTGCTTTTTGGGAATTAATGCTTGTGCTGACTTTCTAGCCAGAGAAATAAACTTTACTAAAAAATTTGATTGCTTCCTTAAATGTATACAGGTGTATCAAAAATTGCTGGTCTATTTTAAATATTTATTTTACAAAAAAACTTCGTTATTTCAAATGTAACACTATGTATTTTTTTAAATAGGTCGAAGCAGATTTAAATGCTCTTTCAAACTGTATTAGAGTTTTCTATACCTATCTGGCTCAGATTTTGAATAAAAAGCGATCTTTCAATAAAATTGTAATCAAGACGTGAAATCAATCATGGCTGGTGACGCCATGGCAATTTTCTAGTGACACTTAGTAGCTATTTTCAAAATCGACATTAGTTTATGGACTTTATTTAAATTTATAACAGGTTATTTTTATTTAATTTACCTACAATAAGGTTAATAAGTAGGTATTTATTATTTTACTAAGAAAAAGGAAGCAGTATCTGCTGGGGGAAGGAATGGATAAATATGTTACTAGTGATTTTATTTTGTGAGGACAATTGCTTGCTGGCCTGAAGGGTTTATGCTCAAAGATATCCAAATAGGAATTTTCTTGACCAGCGTTCCTTTGAAAAATTACTTTTCATCTTTCCTAGAATAGCGTGGTATATGAAAAACCTATTAGGCTGAAACCTCGGCAGAAACCTGTCGTTGGAAGTGAAGAAAATGAATTGGCCTTAATTGGTTCTTTTATAGAAAATCCAATATATCTGCAAGTCATCGTGATATAAAATACAGGAACAAATACAAAGAACTACTTTTTTATTTTTCTTGATAAAATAATAAATTCATACTTACTTATTAAACTATTGTAGGTAAATTAAATAAAAGTAAACTGTCACAAATTTAAATAAAGTCTATAAACTAATGTCGATTTTGAAAATAGCAATTAACTGTCACTAGCAAATCGCCATGGCGACACCAGCCATCTTGATTGCCATTTTATTGAAAAATCACTTTTTATTTAAAATCTGAGCCAGATAGGTATCTCTATCTATCTATTCAGCCTCTTCGGTCCATCGTTGGACATAGGCCTCCCCCAATCTCTTCCACTCTTCCCTCTCTGTCTCTCTTCCCTCCCCTCTCTACTTCTTCTATTCTCCCAGGGCCTCCAGTTTACGATGCATTTGTTTCATCGATCATCCTCCTGTTTGCCATTGTGACCGGCAAACTTCCATTTCAATTTTGCTACTTCACTTCTAACATCCCTTACTTTTGTTTTTCCTCTGATCCACTCATTCCTTTTTCTATCTGCCAGCCTTATATGGAGCATTTGTCTTTCCATAGGTATTTGAGATTTTGTTACCCTGTCCATATTTGATTTTGTCAGTGTCCAGGTCTGGGATCCGTAAGCAAGTACAGGGAGTTGATTATATACTTTGGTTTTGAGGTACTGTGGATATTATCCTATTTTTTCAACACTAGGTACTTTTTCAACACTAGGTACATTTTTCAACAAATAGGTATAGGAAATCCTAATACAGTTTGAAAGAGCATTTAAATATGCTTCGACATATTTTAAAAAATACATAGTGTTGCATTTGAAATAACAAAGTTTGTATGTAAAATAAATATTTAAAATAGACCAGCAATTTTTGATACCCTTGTAAACATTTAAGGAAGCAATAAAATTTTTTAGTAAAGTTTATTTCCCCGGCTTCAAAGTCAGCACAAGAATTAACTCTGAAAAGTAATGTACAGGGCGTTGGCGAACTTTTTTATTATAGCATGCATATTTAAATATCTTCAAATATCTCAAAAACCAAAGTTTTTAAACATATTAAACCCTTATAATAAATGCCTTTTTTTGTGCCGAAGAATCCAAAAATGAAATAAAATATCGGGTGTTCCATAATAAAAAATATAATTTTGATATGGATCTTAGTTCTGACATACCCTGTACATTTGAAAATAATTTTAAATTATGTACAGGGTGGGTCTAATTCGACGCTTTTAAATGGAAACACCCCTTTCTATAGGAGATAGACAAAAACTAATATCGGTGTCCGGAGCTCAATTTTTATCAAAAACATGCGTTTTTCAAAAATATGCATTTTTAACAAATCGCTGTAACTTTTTTGCTATGGAAAATTTTGTATTTTTATGGAAACATTTCCAACGCATCTTTTTACGTTGAATTTAATGGTTTAAGTATATTTTTTTTTTAAATTAATAATTTAAGAATTATCAACAGAAAATTTGATTTTTTATATGGGACACCCTGTATATATTTAAATTATTGAAAAGAATTTAAAATTACCTTTCCAAAAATGTAACACACTTGATATTTTGCTCGATTCCTCTTTGAGATATAGGGTATATAAAAATTCGCCCGCTTTAAATAAGTAGGCTTTGAACGGCACCGGCTGTAATGCAAAAAAAATTCTAGCTGTGAGCATCAATTAAAACGAAAATAATATTTGCTATGAGAGATGCCGAATTTTATAACAACTTAAAATATATTTAACCAACATCAACACATTTAAACTATATCTAATAACAATAAAAATAAATAGCAAACGAAGACATGAGATTTTGCTACAGATGTTCGACATATCGACCGTCTTCTGTTATGGACAGACTGGGCAGTTTTTGAACATTTCTCGCGGAATTCATTAACTCAGTAGGGGTGAAAGATACCCTCTCATAACTGCTAAGTATTTCTAATTCTTGTCTAGATTATACGGAAGAATAAGGAACCTTTATTCTTCCGCAAATATATCCATAGGATTAGATCCATGGGCACTAAGTCAGGCGGCCTCGACGGCTGGGATCTTGGTTATCTATTCAATTATTCTTGAAATTGGCTACAAAAATTTGCTGATAACTTCAGCGTTCTGAGGCGGTGCGTCGTCTTGCTGGAAAAATATGTTTTTGAGTTCCATTAAGGGCATATCATCAATAAGGTGTCCAAAACCTACTAGTTAAAAATGGCGAACTTTTAAAAATTCTGTATTTCGAAGGGGATTATAACAAAATATCAAGTGTGCTATATTTTTGGAAAGGTAATTTTAAATTCTTTTCAGTTAATTAAAAATATAGAGGGTGTCCCAAATAAAAAATCAATTTTTCTGTTGATAACTCTTAAATTATTAATTTTAAAAAATATATATTTAAACCATGAAATTCTA